TGTCTCCTCACCCCCAGGACTCATCTTGTACTGTGATAACCACCATTCCATTACTGATGGAGTCCCGGGGTGCAGAGAAGAATTGGAGGAGCACTTGACTATAGCAAGACAGAGCTGGAAGACATCTTCAAAGGAGAGCTGCTGGGGTCCTCTAGAGGTCTCAGTAGATGATTTCATCAGTCTATGGCTGACTATGGAAACATAGCTAGATCCTCCTTTAAACTCTCCCCCTTTACATTATCAAGAGGATGGCTGCAGGAAGGGGGCTATTACAGAGCAATGGTGAGACCAGAATGATGCTTAGGTCATCACAAAATACCAGCTCCCACAATGACCAAAACAGACATACAGAGGTGTTAGGTTGATGTGTACAACTATGTGTATGTCACTAACAGGGTGCCAGCTCTTGTTTTCTACATGTTTGGCATTAATCACAGGGCAATTGCTCTTATATTTGAACCTATATGTGCTCAGAAGTTGTGGAGGGTCTGGGACTTTATTTCCTGTTGTTATCCATCTGAAAGGTTTCCTGCATTATCTACATTGCTCCAAGCATCCTATTGCTATTTTTAGCACTAAATTTGTTAACATAAATGTAAATTGTGTGAACCAGTACACACAAATTGTGTGAACCAGTACACACGAGAAGATTGCCCTCTTTAAATACCTCTAAGGCTGTCACAAAAAGGAGGGGTCAGGCCTGTTCTATGCTGTTCCAGAGGGTTTTATGTCACAGGAGAGTAGATTTGGACTGAATACTATAAGAAATTTCTTGAGAGAGCAGTTTGGCAATGGAATCAATTACCTAGAGAATTGATGAGGTCTCCTTCTCTGGACATCTTCAAAAAGAGGCTGAAAAACTACCTGCTGGGGAAGCTTTAGCTAGATATCTGGCATGGGTTGGGCTTGATAACCCATGAGACTCCTTCCAATGCAGTGATTCTATGATTCAGTGGAGAAGCAGTCATGTAATTATCTCTACCACGGTACAACCTGCTTCAGGTTGAATGGGAATTCCACACTAGGGACCAACAATGGCTGAGCTTCTCTTCAGTTTAGAGAAGAAGAGCATTGCAATATTAATGACAACAAATATCAGCTGAGATGTATCAAGATTAAAAGCTGAAGCACACATAACATGCAAAGTGTTAGAAGTCACTTTTCCCACAGCAAAACTTATCAGAGGATGAAGCTGTTAGGAATATAAAACCAATGATGTAGGGAAAATATTTCAATCTACCACCATTTCTCAGCCCCCCCCCCTCTATTTTTTTCTACTGGTGGGGTGTGCTGACAGTGTGTTACACCTGTATCATTTGGTGTCCATATCCAAGACTATCTGTTGCACAATGCTAGTAGCAAATACTCTTTTCAAGTTATAGCAAATGTTCTGCTGTTGTTCATCCTTAACTATTTGATATTCTTATTATTCATCCTGCACCTATTGAATTCAAACCAACTGCAGAAAAAAATATATTTCTGTATTTTCCTCACTTCTAAAAATCCATTTGCACATTAAAAACTTCTATACACATAGGGAATATAATTTTATTTCTACAAGGAATATGTTTCAGCAGTAGGCAACAAAACTGGTCTTCAGAGAGTTTGTACCACTAACTGCAGAAGATATATCCCCCATATTTTTTTTAAAGGCAAAAAACAAATAAAAAATTAAAAGCTGAAAAAAGCATATACATTTCTTGGTAGATTCATGAAGTACAGTTTATAACAAAACTGTCATATACACAAACATCTTAGCACATGTTGCTTTTAATTACCAATACAGTATTGTAAAACACTTACTTTACATAGGATTTACAGTGTGAGACATATTATTCAGCAAAATCTTTCTCTCCTTCTGTAGGGAATCTCAACTGTCTGTCATCCCATCCTTGTTACATTTACAAATGAGATACAATCTTCATGTCTCCCATGGTAGATATTACTTGTCATGCTGTGATGAATAGTTTCTGGTTGTTGTCACCCCTTGTGGTGACTAATAGGTTCCTAAAATCTTTTTGCGACTAGTGCACTGGCAAGGAGCAACAATGAGATTTCTACAGACAAGAAAAATCCATATGCTTGTTCTTGTTAGAAACATCACATATTTACAGATTGATATCAAATGATAGTACGTTCCACATGTGTTGTTTACAAATAAAATAACAGCAACACATACATCTCTCTTTAAGATGCCATTTTAACTTCATTTGTGTTGCCCATAAAAGGGCTTTTAGGTTGTTATTTCTCCCTCCCTGGCAACCTCTACTTTGCTCTTCTCTCTCTTCTCCCTCTCTGTCAGTGAGATTCTATATTAACCCCACAAATTGGAACCAATTAATCTAAACTAATTACATTAGAGGTTTTAAAAAATAAAATAATTTGGAATGTAAAATACTTCTCTCTATAAAACTTCATGTAATATTAGGACATTTTCTTGGGAAATATGTGAGGAACATTTTTCCATTTGCTATGCACACTCTTCACTGCCTCCATTCACTATCACAACCCAAGATAAAGTGTAAAATTCCAGTGAAGCATGCAAATTAAGAAAAATGAAGAAGTAGCCAACAATATGAAGAGGCAAGAAGCCACAACCATGCTCTTCTGGTTTGAGAAAAGCAATGTCCTTGTATACATTCAAAACAAAGTTACACATCTAATGTGAAACAATATTTGAAGGTAAGCATTGCTCAGAATGCCAATCTTGCTTTTTTTTTTGTTATTTTGCATATAACAAAGAATGTGATAATATGATTTGAATGTAATGTTGAAATGTCCTTCTTTGCAACTTTGTCTTGGGATTTTTCTTTCTTTTTTATATTTCAAAAAGCACACCCTGAAAAATTAAAGACAGCATCACTGGAGAATGATGGGGAAAGATGTGCAGATATGGAGATCAGAAGAGTGTGATGATACTCCCTCAAGAGGAAAATAATAATAATAATAATGCAGTTTTGAAGCTGTTTTGCAGTTTGAGACTTATTCTGTGCAAAATTGCACATGGAAATTTGGTTCAGAGCCTTTTCCGCACCAATAACATTTTTTTGT